AAAAGAAAGATAACGCGTTATGTTCTCTAGATATATTTCTTAGTCAACGACCTGATGGATCAATAAAACGATGTATTTGTAGAAAACCTACGTTGACAGGACACTATCTTATTTACCACACTTTCTGACCTGTTCGGAAGAAAAGAGCTTTAGTGAGTGAGGTACCTCTTCAGTAAAATCCAACGAAGACGCACTTGACGAGGAAGAAAGAAAGTTGACTTAAAACCTGGTTGTTAATTATTATCCAGACAAGTTCATCAGGGGATATAAAGTGTTCAGAACAACAAGACCCACTCTCCAACTCGTCCCTTAGAAAGATGTGTACATCAAGCTGCCCTTTATGGGTCATCATAGCAGCTTGATAACTAGACAAAGATTGAACGCTGCTGTTAAAAGAAAGACTTGATGTGCAGGTAATACCATAATAATTGAGAATGTGAAGTCCACGGATGCATCTAAGATCTAAGAACATGCGAAAAAATGATGTCACATTCCACTGCATTTACCAATTCGAATGTAGGTGTGGTTACACATACATAGGGAGGACTCATCGATCTCTGTAAGTCAAGCCTGGCTTCAGAGCATATTTCAAAATGTATAACCAAGCGTGCAACTTAACCAAGCACTGTCAATAATTGGAAATAATATATCCTGATACGATAACGTGTGGTACCGCCATTGTAAAAGATTTCAGGTGTCAGTGTATGGTAGTTCAATTTTCATATCGTTAAAAAAACCATAATAAAGTAAAGACCTAAGCAATTAAAATGACTAGCTCTTGCTTCAGAGTGATAATTCGTGTGACAAAGAAGAAAAGTATTGTCAAGCAACGCAGATCATTTGGTGAGTGACTGAAATTCTAATTTTTGATACAGAAAGAAAGACGAAGTTTGCAGTATTAAATGATATCACTCTATTTCACAGGTTCTCATCAGCTGCAGACTACCTGAAATTACAATGGTTATATCGATGATAATAACATAATTTAATGTTTGAGTGGTAGTAGAGATGAGATACCATAAAATTGATGCATCCAAAATGAAAGCATTACAATTTTTAGTTTAAGTTTTCATCATCAATTTATACGCTTTCAAAGTTGAAAAGAGGAGTGGAGGGGTAAGACAGAAAACAGAGAAAAAATTAATAAACAGAACAGTGTTAGCTTGTAGGTTCACATAGCAACTCCAAAAAACAAAAGCGGTTACAGTTTATGAGATTAAGATCTGTTCAGTGAGTTGAGATCATTGAATTAGATGACTAATTATTGTAATCAAAATCAAAATTCAGTTACCAAGGGAGTGAGAGGTTATTCACACTCTCTTTCTGTATGCACAAGTCTGGTTTAAATCGTTTGATTGTGATCGCTTCGGCAAATCGTACTAAATTTGCTGTCCTTTGTCTGTTTAATACTTTGAAGGACTTATAAATCTCTACGAGATGTTCGGTATCAACAGAATGTCTGGTAATTGCACTCTGAGAATATTTGCTTCCTTTCAGGCACAGGTTTCTTGAAATATGTTCAAAATACCAGATAGAAGCCCTTCTTTCCGTCCTTCCAATGTACTTGCTCCCGCAAGTGCACGTAAATTAATAAACGCAGTTGGAGGTGACATCAGCAGGGTATTTAACCAGTTTTGAGTGGCTTATAGAAGAAGTGGTGCTGTACAACGTTATGAATTTTGCTGCCGGGAAGCTTATTTTTATTGCACCTTTCAGTCTTTTGTCAATCTTTTGTGACACTGCATCTCCTTTGAATGAGAGACAAATATACACTTTCTTTTTTCTACAGTTAGGTGTTTTCCTTTCTTATCTTTTTCTCTGCTATACTTCTGTATAAATCCCTTAGAGCATCCGATATCTCTTAGGCATTTCTCAACGAAACCTAATTCTTCTTCAACCTTGTTTGGTGAGCATAGCTTCCTGGCTCTGTCGTACAAAGTCTTCACTAATCCACGTTTATAGCTTATGGGACAAAAGCTGTTATAGTTAAGATATTGACCAGTCCAGGTTTCTTTTCTATAAATGAACTTTTTGATCGTGCCTTCGTTTGTTCTTTTTACATTTAGATCCAGGAAATTGAACTCGTTATGATATTTAAATTCCATGGTGAATTTGATGTTTTGATTGGTCTCATTTAGGCGATCATATAATGCCGATGCGTGATCCATGTAGTCGCAAATAACAAATGTGTCATGAATATATCGGCAATAGTAGGTTGTTCCATTGATAGCGGAACTCAGTTGTGTCTTTTCAAGGTAGCTCATGAAGATATCAGCAAGAATAGGTCCCAGAGGAGAACCCATCGCGACCCCATCAATTTGTCGGTAAAGTTGATTGTTGAATTTGAATCGTATATCTCTTGTGCAAAGCAGCAGTGGTCGCTTCATCTCTGTTTCCGGTAACGGTAATAAATCCGTTTGTTTACAGATGATATCAATTGTTTCCATCAGTGGTACGTTTGTAAACAAGGAGGTCACATAATACGATACCATGAGTTTGTCTGATATGCCAGCATTGTCAACTTCCTTGGAAAATTGATAGCTATCCTGATGAGAACCTGTGAAATAGAATGATATCATTTTATACTGCAAATTTCGTCTCCCTTTCTTTTTTAAATTTTTGAAGGAACCGAATATTTGCAATTTCTAATATTTTCACCACGACTAATCCGCTTTACCATAATTCACAAACAATTTGCGAACTTTCGTCAACATCTGACTTCAGTTGGTATTGAAGTTGAAGAGAGCAGCCAGAAATGATAGGCAATGCGAAAGTGTGGATTCGAACCAGCCAATAACCTACTGTGTAACATATATACTGAAAGAAATCAGGATATAATGGAAATATCCTAAGGAAACTTCCAGGTGAACCCGCATCCTAGGGTAACAAATGGAATCCCAGTGACGAGGGGCATGCCAGAGATTATATGACACGGAAAGAAAATCTTGTGGGCACTCATACAGCCAGCTAAACTGAATGTTAGAGGACTGCAAGTTTCACCCGAACTCAATGAAATGAGTGTTATAATTTATTCCATTCATGAGTCTCGTGTAGAACATGGGGCTTCCGTAGCATATCTCCACTTCACTGCGTCGTCTGCAGTCGCATTTAGCTGTCAACACGGTTGTCCATAAACTTTCATTTTTCCCTCACACAGTTACTCTTATATCATGCTCAGATTTTCTCCTTCGGAAGCATGATATCGCTCAAAATAGGGTACCCATCCATTCACATTTCTTTCTGCATATGTGTGAGGTGGAAGGTTCGCGGTTTGTCCATTTCCACAGCCCCTCCAAGTGACTGAATGTTCAGTCGGCTTGCTTCGTAAACAGAAGTTCCCACCTTCAATACACCATAACGTCATCGATAAAGGTAAATGTGAGGAATTTGTTTAGCCGTTTATCTAATAATATTTTTTTTCTCCTTTACATCATTCCCAGTTGAACATAAGGTTTCAGGATGCAGGCTTGCAGTTTCGGGAGCAATGGTATTTATTTTTACTGGATGGGGTTGCTAGCTTCATTCCCAAACTTGCCTCTTTACCAGTCTTATTACTGTCTTGGAGAGGTTCAGGAGTGAGTTGGCCGGGCATCGAATCCCGGACCACGTGTGTGTTTGGAGAGCATTCGACAGCTACGCCACCAACACTCGTTTGTCTAATTCACCAGATTTCTAAAATTGACTCCCATCACTTACGGAACTAAAAATCTAAGCTAGTTTGGTAGTTCATTAATTTACCACCTGTCCTTCAGCTTGGAAGCAAATTGCAAGTTCAGGGTGAAGCCGACCAGCCTATCCCGGAAAATCAATCCAGTCTCTAAGGTAACATCAAATGCAAGCGGTGAGTAATAATAATGTTACTAACTCGAGATTGATAACGGAATAACATCAATAACGGAGCCATGGAATACAAGCAGGCAGTGGTGAACAGCTTTTTCATCCTAGTTTGAGAGTCATCAGTAATTTTCGGCCATTGGAATTCGAAGCGACGACTATGCTGTTGCAGTGAAAACTCGTAGACGATTCAGCCACTGGGACTCGAAGGAATGCCTGCAGAATTCCACAATCGACTGATTAGCGATTATAGAGCAACTACTAGCAAATGCCGCTGGTGAATATCTTTCCTCACTCCCGACAAGTCACGACTTCTCACGAATTGATATCAGTTAGAACTCGTGATCCATGAAACTGAGTTCCGGTTGCTGAATTGTCTACAAGCTTCCATAGTAACCGGAATGCCATGGTTCGAAATCTTGGTGGGCGCGTAGTGCTGATATATCCCAAACGAAGATGAAACAGCTGTCCAGTACTCCCTGCTCGTTTTCTATGGTTCTGCAACTGAAAGCAATCGGTTGACAAACTTAAAACGAATCAAAACCCTTAGGAATCAACTCTTGAAAGTAATCGATATTACTAAAAGCAGTAACAAGAGATGTTGTGAATACCGTTCATTATAAATCAAGCAATTATCAGTAAATATTCAGTTTAAGTGGAATGAGCAACTTCAATTCTCTCACATGAGACAAATTAACATGAGCAAAGGTGTTTGAAATAATTGAAACAGTGAATGTACTAGTAAACGTTTACAAAAGTAAGCGCTTTTATTCTGAAGTGTCAGTATATTGATGAAGCAGCTACTACGAGTCATTTAGGTGACACTTCTTGTCTCTCAGAGAACGTTTTAGGCAAGAATGGTGATCACATTTTCTCTTGACATGATTCAAGTGATACACTTAAACAAAAGTATACTTCAAAATGATACAAAGAGTGAAACCTCAACTGAAAACTCCTCAACTCTAATCCCATTGGTGGAGGTTGTAGAAAAAACAAATCGTTAACAGTATAAATGCTCATCTGTAACCTCAGCAGCGTATGACAAACTAATAATAGTCGGAACAATGCAGCCTCTTTTATTACTGTTGTGCCTGTCATCACTTTACATCTGCCTACAAAGTGTCAAATCACACCCATCAAATGCGGAAATTCAGCAAATACTTAAAATGCACAATGACTATCGAAAGAAAGTGATGAATTGTGAATTGAAAAACCAACCACCGGCTAAAAATCTACCAGATCTTGTGAGTTTATTGGCCTACCAAAGCCATCACCTCTCTCTCGTTTCTGGTGTCATTGCTTCTTTCTTTCAACTGTGATTTTCCATCTCCTGATTTTACCTCTTCGTTTGTCTTTTAGGAATGGGATAATGATCTTGCTCTCTATGCCCAACTATTAGCCAACGAATGTGCATTTCGAAGTATAAATGGTTTTGTTTCTAAATATCAACATGTTGGGCAAAATCAAGCCATGTTTCCGACTATAAAAGAGTAAGACATTACGACGAATATGCTATTTTTTAAAATTTATTCTAATTTTAGAGCTGTAAACTCATGGTTTGAAGAGTATACGGATTACGATTTTGATACACAAAACTGTACTTCTGTGTGTGGCAATTATATACAGGTAAGTTGAATGTTTTTTTCTGTTTGTCTGTTGGTTGGTTAGTTGGTTTTGACGAAGATTTTTGTCTTGAAATATCTACACCCCAACTAGGAGAAGCATCTTTGACTCAAATGCATATCTATTATCAATATTCCTAATTAGTTCTGAGTGAGAAATACGACCTCAGCAGTAGTTGTTTTGCTAGTTCCACGACTGTCAGTAAGTTCTCATCTCCTCCTCACACAAACGTCTCCACGTCGCCCTCTGACATTTCAATTCATTACCCCTTACTCGTCATCTTTTCTTGTTAGAGTGTCATGGCTCTTGAGTGGAATACATCGCTTTTAGCTATGCAACCTACAGTGGAAGTGATATCGTTTATTAACAGAGTCGCGTTGCTAGACTCTTACCTAGTCTTTCAATTTCTCTAGACTTCATATGATTAGGCGAGGTTCAAATTGCAGCAACCAGATGTTGAATCCTGGGCAACATGAGGCGGTAATTTGCAGTTTCAACTATTGAAAAACCGATGCATAACCATCTTCACTGTCAGATGGGTAGAAACAATGTGAAATGCAGTAACTCAGCATCGAGTCCAGTACCTCTGACATCTTGATCGAGCGCTGTACCGCAATACGATAGGTAGACATTACCTGAGGTTTTTAGATCGAAGAACAACTTTTGAGAACACGTTAAATTCTTCAACAGTTCACATTAAAATTGTAATTGATGAATACTGCCTTCCTTTGTTTTTCTTTTCAGATGGTTTGGCAAAATACCACAAAGGTTGGATGCGGTGTAAAAGACTGCTCACAACAATTAGGTTACCCAATAAAATCCGTCAATTGTTATTACAGTGAAGCGTAAGTGACTCCGTTTAAGATACGTCTTATTGAATATCAATAACAATATTATAAATAACAGAGTATAGACATAATACTAAATGCATTCCACCTTTTGTTTCTTTTCATATACCTAATGAAGTGCTATTTGGCCAGGTCAACGTCCTTATGAAACAAAATCACAAAGTGAATGTCCTAATAAACCAGCTTCAGTTGGAACAGCACCCGGGACAACTGTCACCGCCACCACGTCAACATAAACGACACCAACTCAGAATCTATCTGCTCCAGAGAAAACACCATAATCCCATTCAGGAACAATTATGTCTACCTCGAGTAAATATGCTACTACTCAGCGTCTCCAAGGAACTGTCACTCAAACTTGTGTTTGTTTTAACTAAAAATAAGCATTCATTGGATATGTTTTTATTTATGCTAACATTGTTTTGAGAATAAATTCTGTTCTGCACACATAATGATACCGTCTTTATTTTCCTTTTGAAATGCATCTTGAACGGTGGAGGGGATTTCAGGGAATAAAGCGGCTCATTTCCACAAGTCGAAATCACAGATAATTTAATAATTCCGATTGTAGCATTAAGAACACAATGTATTCAGCGAAGAGACTCTTTTTAACAACGAATTTATTATCAAGCTGTACAATCGTATATATATGGTTTTTATAAAAATTAAATCCGGTGAGGGAATTACGTCAAAGGTGTGAATACATGAAATAATAACAGTATGAAACACAATGAAAATATTTGTGTTTATAATCATAGTTTAATGTTAAGTGGCAAAATAATTAATGTCATATATGGAATAATATATAAGGTGTATAGATTTTTTGGAAAGGGGTACATAATTATAAGATTAGTAGACGAATATAAAATGTTACATAACATGGTGTGAAATTAGATAAGATAGAATTCAAAATTGTAAAACTAAAGATATAAAATTTGATAATATTGGGTTTAAAATGTCAAGTGGGTCAAGTGGAAAAGATTCAGAGTGAGAATAGTAGTAATAATAATGATAATAATATTAATAATAATAGTAGTAAAAAGGGAAGAGTGCATAGAATAACTAAATAAACAAAATAAATAAATGTGTATCCCTCTACGGCCAAGGCAGAAATAGAGATTGTACATTCTTGTTTTGTACACAAAGGTCTGGCTTATAGCCATGAATTGCCAAGGCCTCAGCTGTCTTTAGAAGTCTGTAACGAAGAAAACGCGGGAAAATGGCATGGATTCTATATATGATCTTAAAATCATGGTGAGGGTTGACAGAGTGACAGAAGTCGATCAGGTGTTCCAAAATAGAGCTTCGCACACACTTTCTTTCTCCCTTGTAAAACCATGCTGCTGGAATATGTTCTCGTATCCGTGTGGAAAGAGTCCTCTGACTGTCTGTCTGTCTGTTTTCGACATAGAACTTTGCACATATGTGCGGCAGTTCAATTCGCCACACTCCATGTAGCACACGAAGGAAGAGAAGAAAGTAGAAGAAATGCATAATATAGACAGTAAACAGAGGTGTGAGACAAAGGAGTAGTAATAACGAAGAACAAACGTCCTCTGACTGCGGCCAATGTACCTTGCTCCACAAGAGCAGGTGAACTGATAGATGCACAGATGATAAAAAAGTTTTTCAACAATAACAATAATAACAGTATCTTAGGACAAGTCTTCATAAGTGAAAAAGAATTCTCATGTATTCAGCTTTTGTGAATAGTCTTCAACTGAAACATTAGTCGATAGTAAATGGTTCAAAATAAGTAGCAATCATTTCCACCTAATTTCCTTCGAAAATACACATTGAAGTGTGGGTGAAACCCATTTAAATGTTGGCTCAAGTATAGAGAGTATGATTTAAAGAAGTGATTAAATGACTGAAACAACACGAAAAGTAGCATCATTGATTATTGATATAAGTATAAAAAATGGGCACTGTGGTAGAGTATAACTCCATTATAGATAAGATTTGATTTTGATTTTTGTTTATAATGCTAACTGTACTATCACTTTCTCGCTGGGCTGTCGTTGTAGATTTTAATCTCGGTTTCACAGTTTGTTATTTTTATGCTATATAATCCTAAAGTGAAAACAGCTTTCTCACACTCAACCCCTATTAATATAGACATTCTACCTATACACTCACTGTTGCCTATATTGTACAAACATTTCAGTGAATTTGTCCTTGTTATTATTAATATTACGACTACCTCCATTGCTATCCATATCCCTTCACTCTAATCCTGGATTTTATTGTCCGTGAAGACGATGGTTCAGTCTTCACTTCTAATGGTGGATTCATCTCAGCTAGATAAACTTCTCAACCTGACCTACTGACTTGCTTGAGTTGCTTTAACTACTCCTACCTCATTTGCACCCACTGTTTTGTCTCACTGCATAGGAGAAATAGTGTGAAGTCTCCTCCCATATCTGCTTATAGCAACTGCATCCTTTAGATATCGAGGACCAGTATTTGTGGAGCTCAGTGTCCTCTCCAGACATAATAGATTCTTCAAAGCAGTGTGACAGATAATAGGTAAATAGCTATAGACATCTACGGGGTCATGAGGAAGAAAGTATTTGTTTGTCCACGAGTGTGATCCGTAAAGTCCGTTTGATAGCGGTTATCTTACCAATAAAACCTGTATTTGTGAGTCATGAATATAAAAATCATACCATATCCTTGATTCTTAAGAACCGCCATTCACGAAAATGGAGAAAAGCGTCTTTCGATAGGATTTACACAGGATTTACACCCCGACCATGCACATGGTCCGGGGTTCGATCCCCTGCCGGCGCACACCCGATATCTATGGTTGGCTTGAATTTGGGCTACCGATATCCATGCTGAAAATTCCATACTTATACTGAAAATACGGTGTGGAATCAAGCTGTAAATCAAAATAAAAATAAATCAAATAGCCAATAGACCTGAAAATGACACACGGCCACTTCGGGCCACTTCGATGCGCCCTCGTAAAATTCCTCAGCACTGTTGAGCTATCTGAATGCATCTCAGAAAACCACCGGGCCTGATTATCAAGAGGATATTGCAGTCGAGTTGCTAGCTCACTTCTCGAGCACCTGATGAATTCATGCCATGCAACTTCACTGGCGTCCTCTTTCAAAGTTGCTTTCATGACAAGGCCAAATGGTATAAAGGGCGTCATATTTCGACATTTATTTGTGGTGTGACACTACCAATTTGTCAGTGTAACCCCAAAATCTGTGGTCCGAAAATGTTTGGTCCGTTTCTTATTCCATCAAGGTCTTCAACTCCTTTCCAACTGCCCACTTTCATTTTCAATGACGTGTTCACCTTCATGTCCCTCTACACGTTGCTGTTTTGCATTGAACTAGCCTGTTTCGTTCAACAATTTTCACATTTTTTAAGTGGACACTTGATGTGTGTAGGTTGAAAAATTGATTACGTGGTAAGCGCATTATTATAATGAATGTCAAGGTGGTAAAATTCAGAGTGGAGATTACATTATAACTATTATTCCCTAAGGTTTCGAGTGGAACATACGGCTTCAACAACACACCTCGACTTTGTTCAATTTCCTGTCGTCCTCTTAAGCTGGATCCACGATTGTCTCTAGTGTCTCATCTTCTGCTCGCAAGATAACCTCCATGTCGCCTGAGAAGGACCCACTCGTCGCTTTCCATACGAATTCTAATAAGCGGTGGTCCTCATTGCACGTGGTGTCACTTGTCGGTCTCCTCATCATACGCTCGATCCATCTCCGTTTTCTCTAGCATATTTGATGATCGATCGTCTCATGGTTGGTTTGTCGCTTTTTCTGGCCATTTCATCTTTAGTATGGAGCCAGCGAAGTTGGCTGTTGCTAAAAGTCTGCAACTTGTTAGAAATCACTTTTGCTCAGTTAAGTAGCTCACTAGTTTTCTAGCCGGTCCCAAGCTTGTGTAAAGAGGGAGGGTTGGGCTTGAGGCTAGCAATGTCAGACTACTAAATCTTTCAATTTATAGAAAAACATCAACACACAGAAGGGTGTAATGTGATACAGTATTTAGTACAGACCAATAAAATGAGCTGAGTCACTAATCATTCTGCAGCAAGAATAATAACTGCTCTTATCCAAAGAGTAAATCAGATATAGTGTGCAATTCTCAGAGTGTAGTAGAATATTCCAACTGATTACCAAGTTAAATTGCATAGTATAGAGAAACGTAATTCGAATGACATTCGCATCAATAAAAGTGTCAATTAAAACAACACGTATGTAGGGTTAAAATTCCAAATTAATAGAAATACTGACAATGACATATCCTGATGATAGTAGAGAAAGCAACAGTCGATTTATCTACTCTGTCTCACAGAGATTTAGTTAGTTTCATGCCTAATGCCTTTCTCATTATATGACGTATGTGCCAAATATGGTATTGCTTAGGTTTTGCATTGAGTTGTGCCAGCATGAAATCCTGTCTGATGAGATGCAGTGATGAAGAGAGTTGTGAATAAACAGGGTAATGAGAATCTGACAAGATGAGTTTCATCGATCTCAACAGCAATATTATTCATGCAGTTGCATCGGATTCCTCTACTTTTCAAGCTGTTGAGCTTTGTGGTTTTAGGAGGATATGGCTGTAAGCCTCGCACAGAACTTTACCTCTCCCACTGGGCTTACTATTGGTTAACTGGGATTAAGTACTGCATTGACAAGAAATCAAATCCCGCATCATGTTCGTCGTTAGCGAGTATTCTACTACCAACGGTTTCGTGAAATGTTTGAGCAGAGGACTCAATGACTGCACCGTGTCAAGCTTTGAGTATGGAGTGTTCAGCTGACGACTGGTTGAACGGAAGAGCCACACGTGTTTGGGAGATAGTTGGAGAGGCACTAAGTGACACGATTGGTGAGTGAATGGTGTGGGGATTCTCAGAGATTTCTCTTCTCACATGAGCTTGTGTGAAAGCATAACTCCACAATATGTTAGCAGAGTTTGGATTTGCTCCACGTGTTTCTGGGTTATGGTTCCAACACGCTTCCACTGCGCCACTCTTCTGTTACAACCAAATTAGTGGGTTTATATTTTACAGGTATGGAGCTCAGAAAATGAGTTTACTGACCAGCCTATGCATATAATCCTTCAGAAAATATCATCTCTTCATTCGATTGATAAGATTTAGATGCAGTCAATTAAGTCAGTAAAAATAATAATAATTTGCTTTATTCCAAAACAGTACATGTGATACAGAATGGAATTCTCAGCATTTTTAC